GATCCTGGGGCATGGGCAGGGTGTAGGATCCCAGCTGGGGCTGGTCAGGTCCTGATGATCTATCTGGGAGTAAAATCTTCCTCAGTGATATAATCTCATTGCAGATCCAGAGGTGATACACCAACAATAATCCAAAGCTTCTGTTCAAAAATTACTATCTGTAATTTTTCCTGGTCTCCCCTTCAGACCAGTTATATTTTCAGTCTCCTGACAACAAATACCCCAATTTCACTGTGTTGTGGATTGGATCCTGGTAGGGTTTCCCACAATACCACGGTAGGGGAAGCAGTGAATACTCACCCCGTGTTCATGGGTACAACACAAACCTCCTGCTTTCTGCGCTAGCAATGCCCAGCCCTGGCTGGGCTGGTTTGGATGTGCCAGCAGCAGCTGGACTTTTAAGGCCTGAAAAATTGGCTGTAAGTCTCTGTGGCAACATGTTATCTCCCAAGATTTATGGTCCATCCTGCTCCAGGCGGTCAGAAATACCACCACAGCGATGGCTCTGGATATTACTGCATTTTTATGCCACTGCTCTGACATTCACAGCTGAGGGAGAAATGAGGATGGGAACATTTACACTTTCACCCCCTGCTCCGGCAAGGAGCTTTCCAGGTTCGGTGTGCGGGTATTTGTGGAGGGCAAGAGCCGGCTCCTGTTACTTCCCAACTTATGATTCTGGCTGGAAAATAAAGTAAGGTCGTGCGCAAGGACTCAAATACCTGCGCAAGCCCAAGAGGGTCATTTTAGTCTTCTACGTCCTCTTTTCCCTTGGGAAAGGCATGACCCCTCATCAGTGCCCGGCCCCATACGCTGATGGAGAGGGAAGCAGTGAGAGGAGCAAATACCCCAGGGACCAGCATGTCGAAGCTTGTCAGAAACGCAAAGGGAGGACGGGCTGAAGTCCCCGCCGAGGGCTGCATGTGTCTGGGGTGGCTGCAGTGAGGCCGTGGTTCCCAGGGCACAGCTCCTTGGCAACATCGTCTGATCTCAACTAGTTTGCAGGTGGGACGATCTGCTTGCTGCATGGCTGTGAAGGCAGAGTGCCCCCACCTCGGGAGAGCTCTGCTTCCCCAGGACTCTTGTGGTGGGTGAGGAGAGGTCTCCCAAGCTTTTCTGCTAAAGCTGTTCCATATCACACAAATAATTACACAACCTTGTGCTAGGGAAGGCAGAGGAGAGGATGACTGGCGGAGCCTGGAGCCAGGTCCGGTCTCTCTTCCAGGTCATTGTGATGGTGGAGTCCCAGAAGGACAGAGAGACTCATTTGTGATCGGGGACAGATGCTGACAACAAAGCATCTTCAAATAATCACACCCAGTAGCAAACAAAACACTGTGTTAGCAAAAATTATTTTAAGATAGCAACCTACATCTTAACCAGACTCCTCACCCCTACACTTCCCGCAGACCGCAGTGAGCTGCCTTCTGGCTGCGGGAGCGGAGCAGCTTGATCTGCAGTTTTCCAGGCAGTCCTGAAGTCCTGGGGCCCTTTGGAAGGTAGGAGGTGGTAGATGACTACCTCCGCCTGTCCCTCACGGTGTCAGGGGAGCTGCAGAATGGCATCTGTGCCGCTGCATGTCCCTCTCTGCCTGGCCGTGGGTGGGAGTCCCCAGTAACACAGGCCAAGCTGGGACGCCCGTGTTTGCCATTGCCACCCTCACCGCTCCGCTGGCAGGGGGTGATGGTGAGCCTGCCCCAGGTGACTGCCAAAACTGGGGCACATCCACAGCATCCCTTTCACCACCGCCAGTGAGGGTTGTGATGCCCAGGTGATGGGTGGTGACGAGCAGGGGGCGGCACAGCCAGCGCTACCGGCTACCCGTGTGACGGGTGCACGGGCTGCTCCTGGCCCTGGCACCTCCCACTTCTTGGACTCGTGCACGATGAGGAAGAACTCGCTGCTCACAGCTTTGGTGGTACCAGGCTGGCGCTTCATCGAGGGAAGCACCAATTTAAGTCTGCAGCAGCCCAAGGCTGCACGGCAAGCCCTGCATCGCTGTTGGGAAAGTGGGAAGAGAGACTGGTGCTGTGCTCCTGAGTGGTATCTCCCCAGGGAGGTGTCATCAGCTCTTCTATGAGTTATGCTTATGATTCCCTTCATGTGTGCTGGGAAGATACTTGCTTTTCAAAGCCATAGTCCAGCAAGTGCCAGCAGCTGCACATACACTTTGCAGCGAGGCCCCTTGGCTTCAGTCCAATCTCGGTACAGACAGGGATTTGAGTTTGTAGCTCAGCAACTGAGCTATTCGTATATTTAATTATCTATTTAACTGTTATATTTAATTCAATCAGGGAAGACACCATGTGCTCAGCTATTTAACACGGCCTGAAGGAGTAGTCCTTTCCTCTGTGCTGTTCCCACAGCAGTTCTGTTTCTGAACTGCCAGCCCAGGACCGTGAGTCTCAGCCAGACTCGCAGGGCTGAGGTGCGGGAGGGAGCCTGGGCCAGATCTCTGCCAGGATGCGGGAGCCGAGGCACGAGCTTGGGACCAGCTCTCCCAAAGCCGTGGGACTTCCTGGCTGTGAAATGATTTTGTCTAACTGGGAAATCCCTGCACCTCATCCAGATAATGTGGCAGTAAGGGGTCACCTGTCTCAAATGCAGCATTCACCACCCTCATCACTAGGAGCAAAAAGTTCTGAAGTGGGTAGGACTTCATGATTTCCTCATTAAGGCTCAGAACAAGGTGTAACAACTGCAGTTAAAATTACCCCATCTCTGCTGCCTCCCACCACACAAAGGAAAGTTATTTTTAACTCCAGGTTGCCCAAGGGATGCTGCACAGTGAGATCTGTGGCGTCATCGCCGACGGTCTTTGCCTGGCAAGAAATTTGGGAAGAGAGAGCCCTCCCTCCAGCCAGCTGGAATCAGGCTGGAGCCCAGGGGTGGGCACTGCTGTGAAGTGACCCCTCCAGGCTCCCCAGCACCTCCCGAGGGGGCAGAAGCTCCCACTGAGGCAGCTCTGGGAACGCAGAGGACCAGGTGCCCAACCAAGTCTTCTTTTAATATGCTTTTGTTCTTTTTAGGTTTCAAATAAACTTGGTGGGCTGAAGCTATTCCAGGAGCTGTGGTGGCACTGTGCAGACAGGACCTAGAGTGCACCAAGTTGCAAGGATAGTCATACAAAACCAGAGGGGATTAGCTTTTAATGCACTTCTCAGGGGAAACCCTGAAATTGTGGGGTTGCCAAGATCCCAGGAGGAAAACTGGCCAGCTTGCTGCCCTCCTGACCACGAATCAGCTACCAGCCTCTCACAGCGCGAGGAAAACTCGCACAGAAACCTAGGAAGAGCCACGATGCACAGGAGCATCCTGGCCATTGCCACCCCATCGTACATGGCCACAGTACCATCACATCTCCTCTGGCCCTAGAGGCGCCTCACATAAAGGGGTTTGGGAGCCTCCAGAAGCGATGCTGTGCAGACATGAGCAGTTACCACTGTTGGGCTTTATCTTTCTGGCTGGGAACGAACACGGTACTGTTAAATGTCTGCAGCGTTGGCTCTCAGGGGTCTCTGAGCTAAACTGCAAGAATTCAGCTGTGCTCTCATTGTTTTCCATATCTAACTTCGTTGATGTCTGTATTAAAATCCAGCACTATGTGTAACATTGTGACCTTGCAACCCAAGCAGAATTATATGATTTTTTTGTTAGTGTTACTTAGTATCTTGGGGCTACATTTTTAGACTACAAGAACTTTTCTTGTAAAGCCTTTTCTCTTTCTGCTGTGCCATCTGCAGCAAACATTGTTAGGCAGGTGTTTTGCTCTGCCTTGCAAGTTAGTCTCTTTGCCTGCTGCATCTCTTGTGGTTCACATTCTTACGTTTTGTACCAGAGAGAAGTCCACATAGTGGAAAATGAGACAATACTCCCTGCAGCTACCACTACTGGGACTCTGGAGAAGATCACAAAGGTCTGGAAGCCAGCAAGTCTCTCCCAGAGTTTTATTTTGGGTCTGTCAGCAACCTGTTGTGTGCCTGCCCTGCCGAATCACTGCTACCCCCTCCCCTCTTCAGAGCTCAGTTTCTCTTCCTGCTCCCTGGGACTAATCCATAATAATCCTTTGTAATCTGTGGGAGCTGGGTACAGGTGCAGGTTTAAGAGCTGTGAATACACAGGGTCCAGGGATTAGGTGTATTTGTCACGAGATGCAGGATACCTCTGGTACTCATACAGAAGTCTTGCACTATCCAACACGGACATGTAAGACCCAAGACTGCAAATCAGCCTCTGAATGCAGTGGCTATGTGTAACAGGCATGAACCTCACCAAATTAAAAAAACACCACTAAAGACTATGAGCTTTTCACCCTAAATATTTAAAAAATAAAGACAGGGAGCCTCTGAGCTTTAATACCATTCATGTATACATTTATTAAGCCAAAGGAGTTTGATCATGTCACGGTATGTTACTAGAGCACGTGAGATCCCTTCTTTTTAACGTCACTAACAATGGTTATTTTAATTACTTTTTTTTTTTTTGGCCTTTCAAGCTTAAAAAAAATTAAGTCTTTCTGCACTCCCCATGAAAGGCTCTTTTATGGTTTTTTTTTTTCTTTTCTTACAGTACAAAACAAACATTTCTCAGACATGTAAACAACCATCACAGAAATGAAACTGCTTTAGTTAACTGAAGTTAACTTCATTGTTATGGACGTTCTGTTAGATTTATGCCATGTTAGATGTATTTCAGCTCTGTGACTCCTTCAATGAAAGTTATTACTGCTATCATCACCTGCACCGCAGCAGTGCCTACAGGTCAGGGTGAAGGCCCTTCTGTGCAAGGTGCTGTACAAACACTTGGTGTAACTCTGAGGCCCTGGTCAGAACAGCACCCACTGGTGTGACTATAACCCTCTCTGCTTCCCTCTGCTCAGCAGCGATCCTCACAAATTACGGCAGCTGGAGTGAACCTCTTCTCCAAACTAAGTCTGGAGTTGATGTTCAATTACTGTTGATGAGAAATGTTACTATGGGCCAATCCTGACACCTGCGGTCCTGTGCGTAAAGCTGCTCACACTCATGGGAATGCTCATATGAGTAAGAAACTCCTGTGGGAAAGGTCTGCAGGATTGAGTCCCTGGATCATTGAACTCCTTTGCAAGAAAGCATGCAAGAAAAGCAGACTGGTTCCTTTTCTCTAAGGTTTCATCAGTATAATTCTAAGAGAGAAAGGGACAGGGTCAGTTGCTCAGTTTCAGCATCTCGAGCATTTTGAGTTCTGATCCCCAAATTAAAGAAGTCTCTGCTCTGCCTTGGGCTACTGTGACCAGGCCTGGAAAAGTCTGTTGGACATTCTTTGTCATCAGGAGGCAGTGGTTTGCCATTACAGCATGGAGGGCCTCTGTTTTATGGTGTGAAGGCTGCATCCTAGGCAGGAATTGTGAAGACAGTGTTCAGCCATCAGCAGAAATTATTCTGAAAACGCTTTAGAACAATCGCAGTTTAAATAATGATTTTAACTTGATATTTGAGGTGAAAAAAAAAGGATTACATAAAACCAATAGCAAAGAATTAATGTCACTGCACAAACATAATGTATTCCTGCCTGTGAAGCATCCCTTGCAAATTACTGCCCTTTAGGTTATGTCAGATGTTTAAACAAACCCTTTAGAGCTAAAATACAGTACTCTGAAATGAGGTTAGAAAAATTTTAAAATGACTAATGGGAAGTGTGTACAATACTCACTTTAAAACAAGTTTCCCACCTGGGTAGCCTAGGAGTGCGAGGCCTCAATAGACATAGAGCCGATCCGAAATGGCAGCAGGCATGTGCGTCATGATCTGCATGCGCAGCCACCAGTAGTAATCCATGGGGTGGTAGCGGGTGTAGGGGGTCGTGGAGGTGAGCGCATGGGCGACGCTTTCGATGACCGGCGAGGTGTCCGTCGAGCCACTGTTGCAGTACGTCTCCATCTTGCTCACCTGCTCATCGAAGTACTTCCTGCCGTAGTCTTTGCGCACTATCTCAGGGAGCTCGTCCCACATTTTGTCGGCTATGGCTTTGATTCGCTCAGGGCTGTACAGGTTGGTGGCAGCTATGAAGTTGCCAGGCTCCACGATGCTGACCATCACTCCCTGGGGCTGCATTTCGTACCGCAGGCAGTCAGAGAAGGCTTCCACACCAAACTTGGTAATGCAGTAGGGTGACCGGGCAGGACTGCCCATCCGACCCATCATGCTACTGATGTTCACCACGCGACCTAGGCAGAGGCCGGGCAAAGCACAGCTGAGCTGTGGTACCTGATCCAGAGCAGGTACCTGACATGCACCACCCAACAGATCCCTGAACGTGCATCCACCTGCCCACTGCACATCCATAGGGGGTCCCTGGCAGACCTGATCGTGGCTCTATCTGAGCATTGCTGTCCTATGGAACAGCCTTCAGGCAGGACAACAAGCCCAGTGCTTGCACTCCCTGGCTCATTATACCTGAGGGAACAGGCACATGGTGACACACAAAGCTCAGTGCTACAAGGAGCACAGAAGAGGCTGGACAGAGCCTGCACGGTGGGAAACAGGATCACTCAGCAGCAATCAGGGCTGAGCCCAGACAAGAGGAAGCAGCAACAAAGAAAGCCTCTGGCACCAGGGTGAGCTTGTTTATTTGCAAGTCAAAGGCACAAAACCCAGGAGCCTGATGGTGGCTTACAGTGTCTGCCCCTTAAAAGGGAACAGATTGCTCCTGCACCACAAACAGGTAGAGCAGACCAAGACCAGTCCACTCTTTTCTGTGTGATAGCTGGATCACGGTTCCAGGCACAGAGCTGGGGCCTTTCTCCTCTCCAGAAGCCAACTGTTTTGGCTGGGGAGAATGCTGGTAGGAGACTGTGGATGCTGCAGTGTAATCAGAGGTTGCAGTTCTTTGCACTTTTTCTATCAGTGCTCATTGCTGAATTGTGTTAGGAAAAACTTTGACCACAGAAGTGGATACCCTTCCATGGTGAAAGAAACGCCGCGTGGACCACATACAGCGCAGGTCTGCAGCACAGGATGACATTGTTAACATCTGTGGATGCCTCAAGAGTAAAAAATATTCTCATTTAGTCAGGTAGTTGGCCCCAGCGCAGGAAAGCTTTTGCCCCTTTACACCAAGACCCATTCAAGCTCCAGGTCTGCGTTCCTTTGCTGTATAAACCCCATCTCTCATATGTTACAGGCTCCCAAAGTAACACAGCGCACAGCTGACAACTTCCCTGCAAGAAGCACGTCATAGTACAGTGCTGCTGCCCACCCTGCCAGCACTGGCACAGGTGGTTTTTGTACAGAGAGGAGGATTGCTCCTGGTGCTGGAATCTAAGGTGAGCTGCAGCTTCTGAACAGGTAAAAGAAGGTATGACAGATTAGATCTTGCGTGGGATCTTGCAGGTGAAGGCAGCACAGATAGGAAAAAGAAATAATAACTGGTTTTCAGGACTGCTGCCTTGCTGTGTAACTCAGAGCAGTTAGGAAATCTGTCATTTGTGATGGACGCTGTGGATCACATTCTGTCTGTAAAGGTATGAAGGTGGCCAATGGCGCAGAGAGAAGTGTAATAGACCTTTTGGCCTCTAACACAGCAAGACCTGGGAGTGCCAGTCAGGAGGAGATCACTCACCCTTTGACCTCCGGATGAGGGGGAGGAATGCCTTGGTGGTTCGCACAGTCCCCCACAGGTTCACTTCAGCTACCTCCATGTAGGTGTCCATGCTGGTGAACTCGACTTCCCCAAATGTGGAGATCCCGGCATTGTTAACCAGCCCCCAGAGCCCTAGAAGACAAAATCAAGCAGGAAGCTTTCCCTCTGTGAGACCAATGAGAGCAGCTAGGAAAAGGCCCTGCTAATAGATTATTGAACCACACAACAGAGCTTTTCATTATGACTTGTGATGATGGAAGCCAGACAGAAGAGAGTCCAGAGTGAACTTCAGTCTCCTGAGCAAATATAACCACAATTAGGATCTGCCTGTACTGCCCAACATTGCAGCCACAAAGTACAGTGAATAAGGCTTCCCAGGAAGTTCTGAGCCAGCAAACAGAAAACATCAGCCTTGTCTAAGCTGTTCTCCTTGCCATTCTCTTTTTATCAATCATGATTTTTTGAAAGAAGCAAAACATAGACTCTAAATGCAAATAAGAAGAATAGAAAAGACCTTGTAAGAAACAAAAGAGTAATTCTTTCAAAGTAAAATCCCATGTGTCACCATAATAACTAGAATGTCTGTAATGCTGGGAAGGGGGACGTGGGCATGTGTGGACATAGGTGGGCACACATGCCACAGTCTCTCCTTTTTATTCTGCTGTAACCAAGATGGCAACAAATGAAGCTACCAATTCATTTGGCATTGAAAAGAAAGATTAAAAAGGAATTTGGAATAAAATGAACTTGCTTCATATAATATTCTAATTGCACAGGAGACAGACTGAGAAGGATCTGGGATGGCTTCCCTCTGCTGTTTAGAAAAACTTGCTGTTACCTGTTGACTGACTGTACCCAGATCCGTGTTCCAGAAAAGGCAACTTCATCCTGGCCTATGCTTGAGAATACAGGGCTAGAAAACTTAATTTATATAGAAGATCCATCTATAAAAATTAAATAGAAATAGGCTTATGCAAAATCCAAAATAAAACATTACTGGTTGCTCTGCTTTTAAACAACCTTCATGCATTGAAGTGTGGATGTTGTTTAGGGGAAAAATGTAGTTCACCAAAGGGTGGAAAGGTTTCAGGAATGCATGAGCAACTGGGATTTTCACAGTACTGGAGCTACACTCTGAAGTCTGAAATCTGTAATATATGGTAATATCTGCAATAGCATTTATGATACTTAGCTGGCTTCACGGGAAATCCTTTGGAAACCCCCTCCATTTCCTTTGCCTTTTGAAAGTTTGAGGGAGATGTTTCCATTGCTAATCCCCAATCTTTGGGCACTGGCCAGGTTTTAAAACATAAAGGGAGTCACAATAAACTTCAGTTCACAGGAATAAAACACTAAACCCAGGGCCTTGAACACCACCTTGATGTCTGCTAATGTCCCTATAGGAGCTAGTGGAGTAAAAAGCAGTTGTCTTTGTAGATGCTGTCTTAAGTGGGAAGCTGCTTTCTGATAGGGCACAACATTTGAACGGGCCATTTGCTCTCACTGCTGCTCCTCGAAGCTTTGTGCCCTTCAATCATATGCTCAGCTTTTGAAATACGCCCTGAAAATGCTCTCAGAGCCCAGCTGAGGGAGCTGCTGCCACCTACATGACCTTAGAACCACTGCATGCACCTACCTTTCTCTGGGTCCTCCAGGCTGCTATTCACGTGCTCCACTGCTTGGTCCACTTCTTTGCTGTCACAGACGTTGAGCTGGACGGTTCTCATTCGATCACTGTTCATGTTGTCCAGATCCTTGGAGCCCCCATCTCCCTTATCCTAGAGACAAAGAAAGCTCTGGTCTGAATCTGGCCAAAGAGCTTGTGTAGAATATCAAATGCATAGCAACCATCAAATCAAGCAAAAGAGAGTGCACAGGGCAGTCACAGAATGATCAGGACAGTCCTGCAGCTCTAAGACGAAGGGGAACAGACCGGGCTGCTCCTGCAGAACCCATTGCCTTGCCACCCAGGTCTAACTGCTGGTACAAACTGCTTCGATCACCAAGAAAGCAGCCAGAGCTGGATCTGCCCCAGCAAGGCAACTCCTGCCCAGTGCAAACTCCTGAGATCAAGCTATGCCCCCCTGCTGCAGTGGTGGGAACGTGGTGCTGTCCTCACTTTGGCTTGCATATGGGGCGTAGCAAATAGCTTGGTGGGGGTATGGTATAAAATACCTGGTGAGTGGCTGCACATGTACGTTACATGTGCTTCTCAGTCACGTTGCCAGCTCTGGGAGCAACAGTCCTAAACTGCCTGCCCACTGCTCTCTCCCTTCAGCTGATCTACACACACAGCTCCCACTGCCTGGAAACCTACCTACTACCTCCAACAGACTCCTACAGAGTCTGATCAAGTGCCTGGCCAGCTTGCCTGCTAGCAATTCCCCCCAGCATCTTTTCCAGCATCTTGCTCTCTTCTCTGCCTCCTCCTATGAGCTTTTTCTCACTCTCATTTCCCATCTCCACTCCTTTTGTCTCAGGTCAGAACAACAGATTCCGCCAGCATACACATACCGCTCACAGCCCAGCCAATTAACCACAGCCAGCCCCTGAGATATCTTTCACACAGGCCAGACACTGCTAGCAACGAGGCTGCCATGCCCCTTCACAGCAGTGAAACCTGGCTATGGTGCTTCCAGGATACAGATATGGGATATTAATCTGAGTTTGGGACTATCCCTGAATCCCTCCCGTGGTTATAAGCTACGGGACTGTTGACAACTCCAGGGTACTTTTGTAGAGGATGGTGAGGTCTAGCTCTGAAAATAATCAGGTTTTAGGAACATCCTTGTCTTTAAGAAACTCCCTCTGTCCCCTCAATATCATCCCTCACCAGAGGTCTCTCACTCCCCATTAACAGGCTAGACATGGAGCGTGTCTCACAGGATCATCTGATGGCTGCTCAGCTCTTCTTTCCCCGCTGCTCAACCCTCCAGGTAGCCCTGCTTGCTGTGTCAGCATCAGCAGGCAAGCATCGGAGCGCTCCTCACTCCTGATAGATGAGGCTTTTTTGGATAGATAGCTTGTTGTCCCTCTGACCTGGAACAGGCCAGTTCTTCATAGCAGGGTTGTTTCCTGACTGCTGAATGACATTAGATCGCTCTAAACACCTCGAGCCACAGGCGCTCCCTGTCAGAGACTGCCAGCAGTCAGTTGTCAATGAGTCCAAACCCAGGCTTGCCCCTGAACAAGGGTTCCCTTCAGACACCACACTTGAGATACCACACAAGGATGGCAATACATCCCCCTGTCTCTGTGCCACCTGTCTTCCAAAAAACCTTCTCCTGGCTCCTCTTATTCCTGGGCTTATCCGCTGTGCTCACAGACAGTTCACTAGCTTAAGTACCTGATGTCTCCTCTGTCATCTTCTCCACCCTTCCTTATTCCACCACAGACTGTTAATGCTGGTTAGTGTTTGTCCTTAAGAGAAGGCATCTACTGAATGCATCCTCTTCACACAGAAGCACGTTGCATACGAAATAGAGCAGTTAAGAGTCCCATGCACAGCTTAATGGTGTTTCTTTTTATGGTGACTGAAAATAGAGTTTTGTGCTAAGTTTGCTGCTCACTCAAAAGCACTGTGGTGCTGAAGCCAGTGTGTATGGCAAAGCACTGAAAAGCATACAAGTGACACGTGGGAATGCCAAGAGGAAATCAGCAAATGCAAGCATGCAAGTCCCTTGGAAACAGCAGATACGGCTAAAGGGAAGAGGAAGAACAATAAAGCCAAGGTGCTTCCTTCCCCGATCCCAGGTCTGCGACGTGCTACAAAATCTCTGGGCCGCAGCAACACACCAGCCTCAGCGGCCTTGTAAGCTCTACTGGGACCTCCACAGCATCCTCTTCTTCCTCCCTTACAGGGTTGGCGCAGCAAGCCAACATCCCTCCTGCCCTCCCACCCACAGGCAGCTGGGTGCTTGGACAGGGACCCTTGGGGCTGGGATCCTGGCCAAGAATTGGATGCTGGACATTAACGCAGACCACAGGGCCATTCCCTTGTCTCTTCAGAAAGGACAAATGGGTGATGTTTAAGTCAGGCACCCTGTGATTGTGTCATGCTCTCCTAGCACGAGATGCAGCCTGTCCCCCACATATGCAGCAGTGGAAGGACCTTCTTGTGCTACGCCAAGACACCAGTACATCTCTGGTGTCAGCCCCAGGGTCCACTGTCCCTATGGCAAGAGGGCCCAGCTCTTGCATAGTGGAAAAGCACACCGCTGCCACTTGCTGCCTCATCTTCCTCTTTCCATGGTCACCCTCTGCAGCCCATGGGCTTCAGCTTGTATCTTTTATCAGTGTGTCCTTGAAGTGGTATGTAACAGCCTGTGGCTCTGAGCACTCTTGTTGAGCCCTACAGTAACTGGCCTGCATGCTGGCTTGCTCCGATAATCTCTGCTTTCTCATCCCCCTGCAAGCCCCAACAGGCCTGAGCACACAAAGCAAAGCAAACAGGGGTTCCACCACACTCCTGACAGCCGTGACAAACATCACATATGTCCACTGGTAACAGATACTGATGGAAAAATACCTTCTTCATCTTGTGTCAGCTGGCTCCTCCAGCTATTAATCAAAGAGGAAAAAACAAGACAGCTGCAGCGTGATCGTTCATCGGATCCAGTCTACCACTGTTTTTTGGCAATGAAGCATCAACTCTCACATGAATATATTTGCCAGTGAAAATGTTAGGAAGAAACTGTGTGTGAAATAGCACACTGTTAGCACAGATCCATCCTTGGGCTCCCCTCAGTCATGACCCTAAACACATCTCTCAGGTTTCCTTTAGCACAAATATAGTCAGGCGCTCAGGATCTGGCCACTCTAGGAAACCTTTCCTGATGAAGAGTCAGCACTGCACACACTTTTAATCTGCAATAAGGACGTGACGTTCCTATGAACAGTGCATACCCTGATAATATGATGGCTCCCCAAGCTGAAGTATGTTTCTGAAGTGCAGGTGTGCTGTGAAAAATAGTCCCGCGAAAATAACACTGAAGTTTCATAGTCATTTCCTCTCTGTCAGGGTTTGGTCAAATATAGATAATAGATAATGCTTCTTATTTCTACCTCCACTTCTACCTACCATCTAAAAACACACCAGGCTTTTTCTGCCCCTAAAATCAGCATCAGCAATAATTACAGTCTGATCAGAGTTCTGCTTATGGTTTTGCTAGTAAAACCTGTGGCACAATGAGAAATCAGCTCAGTCTCCTGGAGTTGTTTTAGTTCTATAGAGCAGTTCTGCATAAAGTATATGGCCTGAAGACACATGACGCCAACCTGCCGGCTAAGGAACTTTGGCATTTTACAGTGTTTTTCTGATGACAACTGATGTTATCATCAGCCTTGCCATAGTCACATACATTTTGGAACATGGGATGTGAGTCCAGCTAAAGAAGCAACATTTAATTACACAGTGATACAGCAGGAAATAAATATTGATCAAAGCCTAAAAGAGTTCTGGCATGCTGCTGCATGTCAGCTTACGCTAAAATTGTCAGAGGCCAAGATTTTCCACTAATATGCATTCTACTGAATGCGTGCTGAAGACACCAAAATGGAAGGGAGGTTTCAGTGACAGTTAAAGACATGCTCACTGAAAATCGGGTATTTCTGGCAGCTCAGACAGAGGAAGTGAAACCCAGAAGTAACTTTGCAGCTCTGAAATTTCTGGCTCCAGTCAACGTAGAGACAAGCTATTATTCTTAGCGGTGACTTTTAAGTCTGCAACATTCTTATAGTCTCTAATTTTCATCTTCAGTTACAAAAGCTAAGTAGAAACATCTGCCAAATAAGTACTCATCTGCACTCTCTCTTCTGAACACCTCTTGAAAAGCAGCAGTTTATAAGAAGCGTCTTGTTCTGCTGTGAAGCCTGTAGAGGGAGCCCAGGTTAACAAATAAACCCTTGACCCAAAGCTGAGACACCACAAGGGACAGTTATCGAAACACAAACTTCTCTTTTGAAAAAATGCAGCAGAAAGAAACTAATAATTTAAGCAAAACTTAATAATAATGGAAAAATTAACAGCAGAAAGAGTACTGACAACATTAAAAAACCTTGGCAAATTCTCTTTAAATAATACAACTATTGAAGATATATTTATAGAGATGAGTGAGCTAAAAGATTAGGATCCAAATGACTGACCCACCCCAGGATATCCTGAGGAGTAAGTTTGTTTCTGTTGGGAAATGGCCATGTAGCTAAAAAAGTGCAGTGCTTCTTATGGAGAAAGAGGCTAAAGCTCTCACCTATTCTCCATGACCAGGTATCTCTGACTACCATACAGAGCGCTCCTGGAGAGTATATCAAGATTGCATCACTAAGCTATTTGTGGCTTGATTCTGCTCTCATTCGCCCTAGTGGAACTCTGTTGCCTTCACAGCAATTTCAGGAGACCCTCAATACACACTGAGACATGGCTGTACTCATGAATATAATAAAAAATGCTCACGCCACATGCCATAAAATCATCGGTGGCTTGGTGTATGTCACAATTAATCAAAATAAACCCTGTGTAAATATGTATAGTCTGAGAGCAGGGCCAAAGGTCCAGACTCAACTTGATCCCAAAATTTGGTTATGGATAAGCCTATAAAATTAGATTTGGGGTTCCAGTCCACCAGATATGGAACTGACCACAATGTTGTGATCCGAATAAGAACTCCCTAGATATCGTTCAGTCCTGGTTCTGGCCTAGACTAGGTTATGCTCTATGAAATTCAAGCATGTGTGCCTTTCTCTTCGGGCTACCAACCACCCTCCCTCCCTCTCCTTGGCAGAAAGCTGTGCAGAGTGGAGAGGGAAGATTGGATTTGCTACAGTGTCTGTGCATGTGCCACAGGTGAAGAATACAGTTTTTGTCTTCCCTACCTTTTGCAGGCAGCCAGCGTAAACAATGAAGCCTTTGGCATGCAGGTGCTTGGCCAAGGCAAATCCAAACCCTGAGTCACAACCTGTTATAAGCACAGCTCTGCTGCCAATCTGCAAAACAAAACAGAACAAAATGCACTGGAATTGAGTATGTGAAATCAGCAATTTGTAGTGCACAGAACAAAAACGTGTCCTTGTCCAGGAGCAGTCCATTCCACGGACGCCGTCTACACTTATTGCCAGCTACTGCCACCCAGGGCCTCCTGAAGACAAGAAACAAAGTGAGGAAGGATCACCATCCTCCCAACACAGAGAAGTTTGGCACCTCTGGCTCCTGAGGCAAAAAGCAAACCACCATTCTCTGACAGTTCACATCCATCTTGAAATCAGAAAATATACCAGACAGTGTCCAAGAAATGTTTTCCCTTCAGTAGGAACTGTTCCTATATGTTCAAAGCAGGCAGGGGTCCGCTCTTCTGTGCCACGCAGCCCATAGGGCGTGGGGAAGATGGCTTGACTGAGGAAAGGATATGGGTTAACCTTACTGACTGCTCACTCATATTTCTCTCTCTAGCATGTAAACCCTCTAGTGCTGGGTTTTAAAAGCTAAGCAGAATCAAGTGGGTTTAATATTTGAAATCAAGACTAGTTGGTCATCGGTCTTTTTGTTTGGTTTTTTGGTCGTCTTATTTTTCCAACTTAGAATTTAAATAGGAGAAGTACACCTCCTTCCTTCTCCAAACCCCTTCTTCTAATCCAACGAGAGGCAACAGTTAAGTGACAAGTTAAAAACTGCATGGTGTATCAGACATTCCAGCAGCAAGTACCTATGCAGCAAGGTGTTGCTGTGGGTGGTATTAGGTAATAATTACTTGCAATTCATTCCAACTCATCTAACAAACTAGAAATTTGCTTTCCCCAGCATACACAGGGACTGATCAGGGTCACACTGGCAGCCCCACAGCAATGCAAAGGCCACATCTGAATTCCTCTGAGACTCTGTCCCAGGCTTCAGAGCAAGATGCGTGTGCGCTAGTACTGCTACAGTGCTGAGTTCTGTGCCACAAGCAGGCAAGAGGGCAAAACATCTCCCTTACTTTTGTCTGGCACTGGTCCTGGTGAGCTGTGGAAGGAAAGGGCTGTTAAAGAAGAGGACCACTCTTCAGAACAAGAGGTGAGGACAAACTGATTTATTTACATCCCTTTGCACAACCATACTCCAGAAATAGTGCTTTATTAAGAATTTGTCATGCAAATTCCCTCCGCTCTAAGGTGGAAGATTTCATCTGCTGAGTGAGTTCCAAAAATAGAAAAACCCCACTAGTCTGATTGTTTATTTCCATCCTTAGCAGCATGTACTGTGCTACGTCAATGGAAGCTCTGCGCTAGGAAACAATGTGGAGTATGTTGGAGAGGTCCAGCACAGAGTCTTTCTGGCAAATTGGAAAGAACAATTTGGTCATCAGGCTTCAGGGATTTTAAAACCCCAGCTCAGCAGAACTAGTTCCTGGAAACCACAGTCACACTCACCTGATCGACTTCACTTGCATAAGAGCGGCTGCCACATGGGGACAAGTGAGGGAAGCAAAATCTTTGCACAGGCCTGTTAAAAAAACCCCAAACAACAGAATAATCAGGCATGGAATATCTTGTCTGTACCCTGGTGCTGCAGCATACACGTAAAAAGGAATGTAGTGTTGCCTATACACGTGATGTAGGCTGTCAACAGTATCCAGTCTACAGTTCTCCTTAGTCTGAGCCTGTGTGTTTCCTACAGTATGAAATATTTGTTTCTCAAAAGACCTTGATGCTATTTCTAGCTGCAGAAGCTGCCTGGATATTACCAAGAATTCCAAAATAGCTCCTGGTCTGGAGGCACAGAGCAGCTTCCACCTGCAAAATGGGCAATCAGTGTTTTCATTTCCAACAGCAACAACACTCTCACTTAAGAGTTGCACAAAGCTGCGGTATAGGAAGTTATTCATTTGTCTGATGAAAGTATTCAGCTGCGGCATTGTCTCTTATACCCAGCCTAAGGTCGAATTTGCTTGGATGTCTCTCACACAACTCCATCCTTCTGTCATTTTAGATACTTCTTCCTCTGCAGTATCTGACTACCCATCAGATACTCTTAGATCTTAGATGCCCTCTTTGCAACTGTTTAAACTGAAAGACACTATGTCTTTGAGCAACACCTGCCATGCAGATCTGAAGCTGCTCTGTACAGTATGTCTGACTCCCAGGAAGATAAACCATGTTCACAAAGACAGACCAGAGCAAAGCAACAATGCCTTCCAGGGTGTGAGTATTTATTTACAAAAGCTACGCTACCAGTAGCATCACATTGTCTTAGGTCTTGCCATCATTTATCAAAACTAGGCCTAGACAAGACACCAAAGTGACCCTAACCTCTGCCCTTGCCAGCCACCTCTCTGGACTCTATCAGCTTTTTCATTTTTGCTTTGGGCACTGACATGACTCTCCCAGAGCCTTCTGGCCTTCTGGCCCTAGACTTGCTGTACTTCATCTACCCTCTGACCCCTCTAACAACATCTATCCTTCAGCAGAATTTATCTTCCAGGCCGCTCTTCTGTCTTCTAAGTGAATTTGCATAATCATTCACAGTTAGCTCCTGCTCAGACATCACAGGTGCTCCCAGGGTGACCTATGCTACACAGAACAGCACTGTGCAGACACTGGCCTCTGAGCCGCATCCTGGGAAAACAAGGCTGGAAAAAGAGTCTGCTAGGCAGAAGCTTTGAACCACACAGGAGGGGAGCTGATTTATATTCAGGCCAAGGGTGTTCGCTCACCTTCCTGCAACAGTTTAGCTCTTTTTCTAACTTGAGCATCACAAGCCCAATCAGCTCTTGAAACAGCAACAGCCTATTTAATTGCTGCAAAGGTCAGTCCCCAGGCAAAGTCTGTGTTAACATCACTGACCTGCAATCCTGGCTTGGAATTTTCTCAACAATAAGCTGCTTGGTGTGTCTCAAAGTGATCAGAAATGTTTGTAACATTTCTTTTAGTTGCATGAACTTGATTTCCATTTTTCAGTGTCATGTCTGATTTGCTGCACTCCATTCACAATAACCTGTAGAGAACTAATTGCCATTCTGCCTACCTTGACCTGAAGGCAAGGACATAAAATAGATGCCGGCTGCAGGCTAGC